GGAGGTTATGGTTCTACCCCGTCACACACAGAGCAGGGCCCGTGGGGGGGCGGGGGTTGGGGTGCCGCACCCTGTCACACACAGGGCCGCAGGGCGATCAGGGGGTTTGGGCGGTGCCCCCTGTCACGCTGATCCCGGTGCTGGGAGGCATATTACCCTTTTACTATATAGGATAGAGGCCTGGTGCATTGGTAGGGGCCGGCTGGTTTGCCCTAAAGGGTGTCCTGGATCAGGGTGGGGGTCCCCACTGGGGTGCCTGGCCAGCCTGGGTGAGGGGCTGATGGCTGTTTGCATCTGGTCACACCCCCTTCAGGGTGGGGGTCCCCACTGGGGTGCCTGGCCAGTCTGGGTGAGGGGCTGAGGGCTGTTTTCAGGCTGGTTGGTGACTGAAGCTCCCAACCACTCCTTTTTTTCTTTTTTCTTTTTTTTTTTTTAATTCTGGGCCAAGGCCTCTGCTGCTGAAAGCAGGTATCTGGTTTGTTTCGGTTCTATAATTGAAACACTGTATCATCTCCAGCTCTGATATCCCGGCCGGCTGAAAGCTGGTTTCTGGGGTTTTGTTTAGCTTCTATATTTGTTACAATGTTTCAAACTGCCAGCTCAGAGGCCGACCAGGCAGGCGGGGAACGTTGGAGTCCTCCTTCACTGGAGCAAGCAAGCCTCATGTTCGCTTCCAGCTGCCTGGCTGCCGGCCGCCATCTTGGCTGACAGTTAATTTGCATATCGCCCTGATTAGCCAATGGGAAGGGTAGCGGTTGTACGCTAATTACCATGTTTCTCTTTTATTAGATAGGATAGGATGGTATCTTTGAAACCCACAAGTGTTTAATTTTTATAAAGTCCAATCAACTTATTTTTTCTTTAATAGAAGTTTTATCATAGTTTTAGTGTTGTATTATGAACTTGAAGGGAATTCCAAGATGGCTGTAGAGAAGCTGGAAGCTCCATTCATTTGCTCCCAGCCCAAGATTAGACTTCCAGGTAAACTGCAGAGCAATCAACGAGAAAAACCAGTTGAAGTGTAGCTGATTTGAAACTATACTAGTAAACAGTAGCACAGAGGAAGACAGGAGGAGACAGAAAGTGTGAACCCACTGGTGCAGGCGCATGGCTGGGAGGCCAGAGGGATATTGTGGCAGCAGAGCCCCCTCTCACTGGGAGCATGGAGTCTCAGCCCCACGCAGGGATCCCCAATCCAGAGCAACAGAGACAGGAAGGGGAGCCGGCGAAGCATCAGGTGGTGGTAATTAGTGAGATTTCGGTCCACCTGGGAGACTTGGACCACACCATCCCAGGGAAAAAGCAATCATATTGTTTCTTTCTTTTTTTAAAAATTAAATCTTTATTGTTCAGATTATTACAGTTGTTCCTCTTTTTTCCCCCCATAGCTCCCCTACACCCGGTTCCCACTCCAACCTCTGCCCTCACCCACCCCGCCCACCCCCCCCACTGTCCTCATCCATAGGTGCACGATTTTTGTCCAGTCTCTTCCCACATCCCCCACACCCCTTTCCCCCCAAGAATAGTCAGTCCACTCCCTTTCTATGCCCCTGATTCCATTATAATCACCAGTTTATTCTGTTCATCAGATTATTTATTAACTTGATTTTTACATTCACTTGTTGATAGATGTGTATTTGTTGTTCATAATTTGTATCTTTACCTTCTTCTTTTTCCTCTTCTTAAAGGATACCTTTCAGCATTTCATATAATACTGGTTTGGTGGTGATGAACTCCTTTAGCTTTTCCTTATCTGTGAAGCTCTTTATCTGACCTTCAATTCTGAATGATAGCTTTGCTGGATAAAGTAATCTTGGTTGTAGGTTCTTGGTATTCATCACTTTGAATATTTCTTGCCACTCCCTTCTGGCCTGCATGGTTTCTGTTGAAAAATCAGCTGACAGTTGTATGGGTACTCCCTTGTAGGTAACTGACTGTCTTTCTCTTGCTGCTTTTAAGATTCTCTTTTTGTCTTTTGCTCTTGGCATTTTAATTATGATGTGTCTTGGTGTGGTCCTCTTTGGATTCCTTTTGTTTGGGGTTCTCTGCGCTTCCTGGACTTGTAAGTCTATTTCTTTCACCAGGTAGGGGAAGTTTTCTGTCATTATTTCTTCAAATAGGTTTTCAATATCTTGCTCTCTCTCTTCTTCTGGTACCCCTATAATTCGGATGTTGGTGCGCTTGAAGCTGTCCCAGAGGCTCCTTACACTATCTTCATATTTTTGGATTCTTTTTTCATTTTGCTTTTCCGGTTGGGTGTTTTTTGCTTCTTCGTATTTCAAATCTTTGACTTGATTCTTGGGATCCTCTAGTCTGCTGTTGGATTTCTGTATATTATTCTTTATTTCAGTCAATCTATGCTTAATTTCTAATTAGTCCTTTTTCATATCCTTGAGGGTCACACTAAATTTCTCGGAGGTTTCTAGACATTTCATGAGTACCTTATAACCATAGTTTGAACTCTATATCCAGTAGTTTGCTTTCCTCCATTTCTGTCATTTTCACCTGTTTCTTTGTCTCCACATTTTGGCTGCTTCC